TATACTGGGGCTTCGCCCCAGTATACTAATACACGATTTTATATACAGATATCAAGTATAAATACGACAATCAGCAACGTTGATGCAGCAGGGTTGCGGTGGTGTAGTGGAAAGGCTGTCTGGATTGCACGGATGGGGTCAGCGGTTCGAATCCTGTCGGGACTATTGACTAAAACTATGCTGAAATGTTTGATTTTTTTTCTTTTTTTTTTCACTTTTTTTACTTTTTTTTTAAAAATAAACACTCTCTCGTACATCTTAGCCTCCGGGGTCGTAGGGTTGGGATTAGGGTTTAGTGTTTAGTTTTTAGCAGGGGCGTAGCTGAGGTAGGGCCTGAGGGGGCCTGGGCCCTACCATCAAAGTGCCCTTATAATTATATTCATTGAAATTATAACCCAAAAGATTATATTCATTGTTCTTACAATAACAAAAGGGGGTGGCTGATAACCATAGCTCTTTTTAAAGCTATATACAATGATAATTTCACTCTGATTTCGCTCAGCTTGCAGGAAAATGCCTCCATTTTTGTTACGTAAAAGGGGTGTGACCAAAATCGCGGCGCGCTTCAAGCGCCATTTTGTCTTCTTGCCCTACCGTCACCTAAGGTCCAGCTACGCCCCTGGTTTTTAGAGCACCCTCTCGTACATCTTAGCCTCCGGGGTCGTAGGGTTGGGATTGGGGTTTAGTGTTTAGTTTTTAGAGCACCCTCTCGTACATCTTAGCCTCCGGGATTGTAGGGTTTTGGGATTAGGGTTTCTTGATAAAAAGACTAAGTTCCATTTTGCACTATTGCGCATGCGCACAAGCTGTTTTACGGAGAACAACGGACTGCCGGATCTATAGCCGCGCAGTAGGCGTCCGGCTGCCGGACCAATATCCACTTCCTATAATTTATTCTATGACCAATGACTGAAGGCTTTTGATATGATCACTAAAATCTCGTACATTTAAAGTTTAAAATTATTACACTGAGATAAAATAGTTATTTTACTTTATAAAGAGTTAAACATTGCAACAAATAAAGATTGAATGGAATAGAAGAACAAGAGGACTGATCCGCGGGAAG